TTTCTGTCCTCCAGATCAGCAGCATCAGGTTTGCTTCAGTTTCGGATGAAAGACTGTCATATGTGTAGAAAATTCATAGTCCACCTTTCTACCATTAAAATGGCACTCAAGGCAGATTACAAAATACAGATTTTAAAAATTTAACAATTAAAATACCTAAGTGAGAGAGAAACCTAAGAACAGCACCAACATTTCTCTGGCTGCGATCACACGCACAATTAGCCCCGACATAGGTGCGAATGCTGGGCAGATTTAAAGGACACGACCAGACACGAACATCTGGGAACCGCCCCGTACCTGTCGGCAACCAGTTCTGCTCTGCCACAGAAGTGGAGTAAAAAGACACTGGGGAAAATCCGGTAGTAAATGGGTTGCGACGGGCCACAGATGGATTTTCCCGTGTCTGATCTCCCCAGCGCGCTCTCATGGTGTCGGGATGGTCTGATTGGGCCATCCCGACTCCGTGCCGTTGTTCCCCACCCCCATTCTCAGTATGCAGATCATCACAAACTCCATAGGGAGCCAGCCTCAGTGCGGAGATGCGATTAATTGATTCCTCGTTTAAGTGCATTGGAAACAAATGGCAAAAACCCCTCCACCCGACTCACCCACGATTGTGTCTGACCTCACAGTGGCGGGCTGTGCCTGCAGCTTCCAAGAACTGTGTGATTGCGCAACTGCAGGTCAAATTCCTCCGGAGGAAATAGCCTCGCTCCCCCCTCCCCGCTTTATCTCACACTTGTGACCAAACCTTCTGGCATTCAAACCAACTGGGCCCACCTAGAACAGGCAGTCTAGTGCCTGGAACATAGTTAGCATAATAATTCACTCAGATGAACATGATGATAGATCATAGAGACTCAGGGCAGGTGAGCAAAGTCACAGCTGAAGCAGCAAGTCAGTCAGTCTGCTCCTTAGAATACCGATTTCTAAGCTATGTAATTAGTTAATAAAGCTCATCTAACGTTCTACTGCATCCTGGATCCTGAAATGTATTCATAAAGAATGTTACTGTGGCACAAATTTTGTCTACTCAGCAGCTCTCCAGAGTCTCAGGGAGAGAAGGGTCTTTCACATCACCTACTGCCAGATGTTTTTTATCTGGAAATGCCAGAGACTGAACCTGGGACCTTCTGCAGGCCAAGCAGATGCTCTGCCACTGAACCACAGCCCTCTTCATGCAATTACTCTGTTTTGTCAGATGTACAATGGGCATTAAAGGGGTGTGCGCGCTTGAGAACATGTGATTGATACATACCTTCTACATGAGTAGAATGTGCCAGTGACTTCCTTTGTGGTCTGGACGTTGAGGCCTGGGAGACACCCTGGTGTGTGTGTGCATTCTGCTCCGGTTTGACTTGTGCCTTGGGATCTTTAATCTTGCCAGTATCTATGCCTGTGTGAGTATGCACCACTAAGAAAAAGAAAAACCAGAAAGATACAACATCCCCCTCCTTCCCCTTTGTTATGCTGTGTGGTTGCAGTGACCTTTGCCAAGGACCAGCAGCCAGTTACAGCAGAAGAACCCTCGTGTACCCAACCAGGGACTTCTCCAGACAAGCATCCAGGAAGCCCCTCACCCCTTCTTGGTGCAGAATATGGGGGAGGGGGTCATCGAGCTGTCGACAGACTTTTTCTCCATTAATCTTTTTTGAAGAGGCCTAACGATAAACCATTTCCAGCCATGCTTTTAGGAGTCTGCTCTGAACGCTTTGTAGTTGCACACTTCCCATTGTTTATTTTGTGTCGTCTGTCAATAACATTTGGGGCACCCTTCAGGATACAGAGGAAGCACCATCACTCCTCAGAGGGCTTGTGCTACTGATGGACTCAACAGAACTGAGGAAGTCAAAGGGCCACAACTACAGTTGCCAACTCCCAGATGAGAAATACTCAGTGTGGTATAACGCCACAGAGTCCACCCTCCAAAACAGCCATTTTCTCAAGGGGAATTGGACAGCAGCAGTGCTTCCTGGTGGCCTAAAGATGCCAACCTCCGGGCCATAAAGAAGTGGCACCTTTGGAGGACAGACTCTCTGGAGCCAGATCCCCGCCGTCCCCCCAGATTCTGCATGCCCCTGGCCCTCCACGCAAACCTTCAGGAATTCCCCAAGCCAGAGCTGACAACCTTCTCACAACGACTGTGACGCTAACGGGAAAGTGGGGAAAGGAAACGGCAGAAGGAGTTCTGAAGTCCCTGGCTGGGTCTGTGCCACCAGTGCCAGTCCAGGTCATCCATCGGGCACAGCAGTTAGCAGTGACCGGCATGAGGACTGGCTGCATCCTGATGCGGTTTCTGGGCTCCAGGCACACTGAGCCTTAGCTCCCACCAAGAGATGGTGACGTGATTCACCTGCGCCTGCGCTGTGCTTCTTCAGAATGCTTGTGGGGGCTGGCATGATGGAGCACTGCATCATGACAACAAGAAAATCCTTCCACGGAAAGCTAAGCCCCGGGCGGGATATACATTTGAATAATACAAAATAAATAAATAAATAAATAATTCTATTTTTCCTATCAGCAGGCATCCTGTGTTTGTTTTGTATGGAGACATGTTCATTCGGATGGGCCTGCTCCTAAAGATGCTGAAAGATGCTGCAATCCTTCAGGAAGATGCTCACGATCTCTTTAATAAACATGTAGCGACTTTATTCAGGAAAACAATGAAGGAAGGAACACAAGGCTTACCAGAGTCCTTCACAGTCATTCCTCTAGTCAGCTTATCTAAAGACATGATAAAACCTGGACCGGGGCTGCTCCAGATTCTAGGATACTGGAACTAATATAGAACATGAAATGGATTGCTGAACATTACAATACAGTCCACGTGCAGGTTTACCCTCCACACCACTGCTTGTGATCTAGGCCTGATCTAAGGTACCTGACACTTGAAAAACCTGCTGTCTGAAAGGCCCAAGCAGTAAGGACGATGAAAAGAAGAGTGCTACACCAAAACTACACCAAAACCGATCTTCAGTGAGGGCATCATTATCTAGAAAAGGGCCCCAAATCCAAAGAAGCCTGAGAACTCTCTCTTCTCTCAATTTGTGTTGGAAGCAATGCTCCCTCTAAGCGGTGGAGTCTTGTGAGCAAAAATTCTACTTTGTGAGCTACTGGCATTAAAAGTTGTGAGCGAGCGATTTGGCTACTGCGTAAATTAGTTTGCTTTGAAGCCCTCCTTCCTGAGCTAAGACAAATATGTGTGAGCCGGAGGCTGAAAAACCGTGAGCTAGCTCACACTAACTCAGCTTAGAGGGAACACTGGTTGGGAGCCACCCCAAAAAGCTGCATCTCTGATATCCTGGTCTGCAGCATGTTTACTGAGAGGTCACTCCCCTGGATCTCTGTGGGAAAGTATGCTTAGGACTTCAACCCAAGCCTCCAAGTTAGGATGCTTGGAGTGGAAGCTGCTCACCAAACCAAGAGGCCCTGACTATTAAGGTTCCCTCCTGACTCGGCCTCACTCATCCCAGCTTGTGTCCTTCCGCAGCGTCACTTTGTTAAGAGGAATGAGAATGCTTTACCTCCTGCCCCGTCTTCATGTTTGCTGTGAGAGCGCCCCATAGATAGGCCAACAGTCCTTGCCCCCCCCCTTTCATTGGCACTGCTACATCTTGTTGCACTGCCGGGGTCCTTTTGTGACTCAGCACCAACCAGCGGCATCATCATCAAAGAAGCTGCACACCACCATGCTGCTGCCCAAGGAGGGACTGCAGCTCAAGAAAGACCCTGGGAAATCGGCCCCTCTCTTCTCTTACTCCATCTGAAAAGTCTGTGGTACCTCAACAGTGAAAGATCAGAATGGTTTCAGGTGGGGGCTGGACTGCCTTGAGCCCCCTTCAAAGCCATGGGGCTCCTTCCCACAGAATTAAAAACAGGGGAGAATTGGACAAGAGAAACTGAGCCAGTGAGATTTATTCGAAGCCGTTATCAATACTGGGGATCCCCTGAGTGGGTCATGTCACAGAACGGCTATTTGTTTCCCTTCTTTACAGCGTTTAAGACTGGCAAATGTAAAGCTGAACAATATTAGCACTACAAAGCAGTTCTGGTCTTTCCTCCTGGAAATTGTCAGGAAGTACAGGTTAGATTTCTCTTGTCTGTTTATCCCGGGCTCAGTTCCCATTCGGTATATTTCGGCCCTCCCCACCCCTGCCGTCCAAAGGGCTCATGGTGGGTTACATTTGACTTATTTTATTGACAGATTGCTGTGTTTTTAAACACAGTACTTACATCCCCCAAACTACTTCATAAACCAGACCAGACTAAGAGAAGCTGAGGCCACCCTGTGAGTGTCATAGCTAAGCAGCAATTGGCAATTTTCAGAAATTTTGCACAATCAAAGGCAACTTGCCTTCCACTGTCCTTGCTTTTAAAGTGTTCTCTTTTTTTGGCACTCTTCTTAGAATGGCATGGATGTAGAGACTCAAGCTGAGCACTGCGAAGCAAGCAACAAGTCAGTGGACTCCCTGGATTCTATAGCCCTTCTTGCCAGACTGTCAAGTGGTGGATTTCATTTTTGAGCGCTGTGCGTGAAACAGCTCCCTGCCCTTAGAAGTCTGGCAGTCCCTTTCTTGGCCTTCTGTGCTGGTTTTCTGCTTGCAGGGTGTTCTGGCATAGGGGACATTCCCAATAAATGAGCTGCTTCCCCCTCTAGTCCATTGTGCCACCTCAGCATTTCACAGCCTCCTTCTCTCTTCTTGCAGGGCAGGAGGTTGTTGTAAGGGCAGAGCAGGGGAGAACCCCAGAGGAAGAAGAGCGGGATGGAAATGTCATGCGGAGACGGCTTTGCCTGCAACTGTGTTATGACTCTCTGCCAATTTGGCCCATGATGCTTTAATGCAACTTTTGCGTTGTTCTCATCCTTGCTGCATGGGACAGTTCCCGACGGGCAGCTGTGCAGCACAAAATAAAGCAGGGGTCCAGCGGCATCTTCAAGCGCCTCGGACGAATGACTCTTTTGATTGGACATTGTCTTAAAAGTGGCTTCTCCTCGTCCCATGCCGTTACAGGACAAGCCTCTCTGCCTGTCTGCTTCAGGTCAGCCCTGGCTCATGAGAGCTGCTGCTGGACTTCCGTTTCAGCGCGGAAGGTGTCGCAGGAGCACTCCGCTTTGCTTACTCCTGTACTGGAAGCCGCTTCGGTTAGTGGCGCGGAGGGGGGGGCTAACGAACGACAGGCCCCGCCGGCCGGACTAAGCTTCCTCCTCCCGGAACGACGCACGCCGACTGACCTCCCCCCCCTCTCCATGTTCGACAGGCCCCTTTCCGGTCCCTCTGTTGCCATAGCGACCGCCAGAAGCGCGACCCGCGACGGAGGCGTCCCAGGCCTGGCCACGTGACCGTCAGCGCTTTCTCTAGAGATCATGCGCGAGGCAACCCGGAAGTGGCATGAAAGGGAACCCGGAAGTCCGGGGGGGTTGGGGTTGCCAGCTTCCAGGCAGGGCCTGGAGCCCTCCTGGAATTACGGGTGATCCGCTGGAGGAAAGGAAATGGCACCTTCGCAATGTGAACTCTGCGGCATCGCGTCCCCGCTGAGCTCCCGCCTCTCCCCAAACTCTCACCTCCCCAGGCACCCAAATCTCCAGGAATTTCCCAGGCTGGAGTTGACAGCCTTGCTGATTGGGCGGTCCCGTCTGGGCTCAGGGTGTGTGTGTGTGTGTAGGGGCGTGCCCTGGATTGTCCCGCGAGTTCTCCTCTCTCCCACCAGCCTTTCTTTTTGCTTGGCCACCAGGGTGGCCAGCGTCTCTCTGTCTGGCAAGGTGCCTCCGCTTTTCAGACCAGGCTTGGCTCGTGGAATGGAAAGAACCGATAAATACATAATGGACATGAGCTATTCTGCTTGTCTTGCTACAGCTTTACATGTCTGAGGGATGCTGTTGCTTTCTATCCTGAACAACTCTGTGAGGAATGTAAAAGAAGAAGGTTATTTCCCATTGGGAAGCGAAGCTTCACCTGTGAATCTTTTGGTACAGGTGTCTTCTTAGAACAAGCTGTTGGCAACCTGTGAGCAGGCTGCTTCAGGCCAAAAATTGGTGCAGGCAGTGTGGCATTGGGTCAGAACAGAACTGGGGAGTTCTGGGTTCAAATTCTCACTCTCCCATGAAGCCGGCTGGGTGATTTAGGACCAATCACTCCCTCTCTCAGCCTAATCTATCTCAAGAGTGTTGTCAGGATCAAAGAGAAGACGGGAGAAACCTGAGATCCTTGGAGGAGGGCTAAGACAAGGGTGTGATGGTTCCATGGGGAAGGCAACCTTCCCTTGCTAGCGTCATGCTCGTATTCTTGGTGACATATGCTGCTTAGTGGGGGGTGGGTTCTACTGGACTGGAATCTAGCACAATGTTCTTATGACCAGTTTTAGTCCCACTGTGATTATGGAAACAATCAGGGCCTGTTGGCATTTTACTAAACAGGAAATTGCTTTGTGGGTGACACAGACTGCCTGAGAGTCAGTGTGGTGCATGGGTTAGAATACTGGAGTAAGAGCCAGGAACCGTGGGTTCTGATCCCCGCACACTGAGTCTCCTTTGTCAGTCTGTCAGCCTCACCTACCTCACACAGTTGTGAGGGCAAAATAGAAATGCGGGAAAGCCGTGGACACAGTCACAAGATCCTTGGAAGAGGGGCAGGATAAGAATAGAGTCTTCCAAAGTGCCTCCCTGGTGCACCACTTCCTGGTCCTGCATGCCAGGCGGGTGACGTCACCTGGAGGTATTCACCTGGGCGGTAGCTGCTCCAACGGTAGGGCAAGGCTCTCAGGTCAAAGGTTGTCTCTTGACTGTACTAAGAAACAAAACTCTGGGTCACTTAGTTCCAGGAAAGAAAAAGGTTGGTGGCATTTTGGAATCGGATGAACGAGTCTCCAGAAGCCAGAACTCCGCACTTGTGGCTAATGGTCTGTTGCTTGAGAAAGCACTTGTTGTTAGGGCTAGTATTTGCATTTTTATTGTGTTGTTTTTCCCAAGAAGTTCAGGGCAACTAATCAGGCAGTATCCACCACCACCACCACCCGGGGGGGGGGGGGGGGGAGAGATAATGAGACTTTGTGGCAGAGAGGGGACTTGGTGTCTTCCCAGTCCTAGCTGGTACACCGTACTGGCTCTCTTGGTTCATGACAGGCACAAAAGGTTATCCTCCAACATGCTGCAGCTGCTTTTCTAGAATGGCAGAACTGAAAAATATTCTGTGGGTTAGCACTTAGACTAATGCTTTCAGGCGTTTGCTTTCTGTACAGCACTGTCTGTGTTTCACAGTTCACATTCCAGCCTTGAGTTCTAAACTCGGCTCTCAAAGGTGTGGGATTCTTCCAGATCTCTGGAAATGGTTACAGAAAGGCGCACAGTTTGGATCTCTCTGAGGCAGAAAAGATGTTTGGGGTGGGGGTGTCCGAGAACAAGAAGTGCCATCTCACCCCCACCACCCCACCTTAGGTAAAGATAAAGGTTCCCCTTGCTCGAAAGCCAGTCGAGTCCGACTCTAGGGTTGTGGTGCTCATCTCCGTTTCAAAGCCAAAGAGCCAGCGCTGTCTGAAGACATTTCCATGGTCATGTGGCCGGCATGACTAAACACCAAGGCACACGGAACACTGTTACCTTCCCACCGAAGTTGTCCCTATTTATCTACTTGCAATTTCTCGCTTTCGAACTGCTAGGTTGGCAGGAGCTGGAACTAGAGACGGGAGCTCACTCCGTCATGCGGCACCCAGGTCTCAAACTGCTGAACTACTGACCTTCCACAGCCTGCAGTTCAGCGTCTTAACCACTTAAGCCACCCCACCATAGGCAGGCTCTTTCCTGCAGAAACCAAAACACTCATCCCCCTCTTTGTCCCCGCCATCTTCCAACTGCTTTCTTCTTTCTCTCCACAGACACGCTGTTCCAGTTAAAGGTGAGTGCAGGCCCAGTGAAGCTCTCCCTCCCTCATCTCTAGGTAGACCTGAATTCCGAGATGCTCTGCAGCAGCCCCAGAAAGCAAAGGGAGTGTGGCTTGGGGTGATGCCCCCCCCCCGTGTGTTAGGCCTGAGGGGCTCCTGGCCGGGTCACTCCACCCAGGGCTGTGAAGAGGGCTCTGCTAGCAGAGTCTGGGGCCGGGACCACCATAAGTGGCTGGGGGCTTTGTGGAGCCCGTGGGGCTTTTTGTTGAACAAGTCAGCCCGGCCCTGCATAACAGGTAGTGGATCTGTGGGAAGTCCCAGCCACAGCATGGCCTTTTTGTGAGGTCTCCAAGGGTACACAGGCAGATGTAGTGTTACTTGGGACTGGCAGAGAGGAAATGGCCCCTTCTACCTCTGGTCTCTGTCTACAGAGCTGTGTCCTGTAGCCACCCCCCATCCCCCATTAAGGAGGGAAACTGGCATTGCATAAAGTGCTTTTCCACCTGAGCCCTGTTAAGGCCTGCAGTTGGACATGCCTCCTGACTTGGTCATTGGACCCTATGCCCTCTGCGGTACCAGCTGCCTTTCTCCTTGTGTCTGAGCTGGTGCGGGGGGGTTGCTCCCTTGGGGCTGCGGGCAGGGGTGCTCTTCCGCAGACCTCCGTAGCTGCTCACCATGTGCTTCTCTCCAGTTCACAGCCAAGCAGCTGGAGAAGCTTGCCAAGAAGGCAGAAAAGGACTCCAAGACTGAGCAAGCCAAAGTCAAGAAGGTGATGAGACCCAATGCTGGGAGCAGAGCTGCTGGTGGGGACTGTCCTGGGAGGTGCTTAGATAGCTGCTGTTTCTGAGTCTCTAGTAATGGGAAATTGCTGCAAACGTGCATACAAATAAATGACAATGATATAAGCACTTAAACTTGTGATGCTCTCATGTTGTTTTAATTCTTGTTAAATTCAATGCTGGAAACAAGAATTAAAACAACATGAGAGCATCACAAGTTTAAGTGCTTATATCATTGTCATTTATTTGTATGCACGTTTGCAGCAATTTTCCATTACTTGTTACTCCTTATTGCTGTACCCTTTGTGTTATTGTATATCTGTCTTTGAGTCTCTGCCATGGCTCACCGTTTCTCCCCGGTCAATCTCAAGCTTCTAATCCTTTGCAGCGAAAATGTGCTGCATTTCCTTTTTTCCCTGCCTGCTCTGCTCGGAGTCCCCTTGGGTCTTCGCTTCCTCTTCCTGTCTCCCCCTTCCAAGACCCGTTCCTTGAGCAACCACATTCCTGAAACATCCCAGCCTCCCCCTGCATGTGCCTGTGTTGCAGGGTGACCCTCCTGCACCCTGACCTGATAGCCCAGGCTAGCCTGATCCCGTCAGATCTCGGAAGCTAAGCGGGGTCGGCCTTGGCTAGTACTTGGAAGGGTGATCTCCAAGGAATACCAGGGTCATGACACAGAGACAGGCAATGGCAACCCACGTCTGAAACGTCTCTTGCCTTAGAAACAAGTCTAGCTTGCCACCTAGTGGTGCATAATGCTAAAAGAACTAGAACTTTTGGCTGCCAGACAATCTTAGGATTTCCTGGCTATACTACACACAATGTCATATGATGATGATGATGATGATGTTGCTAATAATAATAACCCTCATGTGAAGTTCTCTTTAGAAGGGCTGTCACTTAGAGGAGGGGAGGAAGCTGTTCGTGTTGGCAGCAGAGGACTCGCAATAATGGGTTTCGATTAACGGCGGGACGGTACTGGTTGGATCTTAGGGAAAACTTTCTTACAGTCAGAGTTGTGCTGCCTCAGGAGGTGGTGAACTCCCCCTCACTGGCAGTCTTTACGCAGCGTCTGGACAAATACTTGCCATTCTGTCAGCATTGTGTCAGCTGTAAGTCCTTTGAGCAGGGACCCTCCTAGGTTCTCTGAGCACCCCTAATCACCATGCAGGGGACAGTGGCACATAAGGGTGGAGCACGTACGGAACTCCTGCCCTATGATCATGGGAGGTGCTGCCGGAAAGCCTCCTTTTGGTTTTTAAGCCCTTGTTCCAGATTGTTTGCTGTGCCACGAGGGATAGGAAATTGTTTTTGGGTTTTCAGACGGGCCACTAGAGACAGTATGTAATGTCTGCAATTCTTTTCAAGGGATGTGCACATTTTGGAGCTGCCCAGTCTTTGCCTCTGCTCTGCCTTGCTCTCAGGGGCCTCTTCCCTCTTCCTCTCATGCCTCTACTTGATAGATGAGCAGGGAGGACGTGGAGTGGAATGCCAGTCCTGGCCTCGGACAGCTGAGCTGCAGGTGCAGAGGACTTGTAGGAAGTGGCAGCTGGGAGGCTGTTCTGAGCTGGAGCTGAGGGGCTTTATCCTGATCCTCTTTGCCATGGTGTGCTCCAGGCCCTCCAGCAGAAGAATGTGGAATGTGCTCGTGTCTACGCAGAGAACGCCATCCGGAAGAAGAACGAAGGCGTCAACTGGCTGCGGATGGCCTCACGAGTAGATGCAGTGGCCTCCAAGGTTCAGACGGCAGTGACCATGAAAGGGGTAAGGATGGAGATTGTCTCTGGCAGCCGCCGCCTTGCCTTGCCTTCTCTGTGCTGGCTGATGTCGTCTTTCTCTCCTGCTCCGAAAGGCTGCAAGGAGGTGCCTCGGGCGGAATCAAGCCAGTGCCCCCATCTTATTATTGTTATTATTTAAATTTATCGACCGCCCTTCCCCAAAGGGCTCAGGACGGTGAACAACAGGTTAAAATATACAATAAATGAATTACAAATTACCAGTAAAACCAGTGACCTTAATCAGTGGCTTAAAGTGCAGTTTGCTCCCTCCCCAGGTGGGTCAGGGACCAGTCATGGAGGAGGCCACAGTGAGAGCCATAATGTAGGCCATAGCTATCCTCCTTGACTTAAGCGAATAGCAGCTCTCCAGCAGGTCTTTGATTCACTGTCAGATTGACCCTGTGACCTTGGGTATAGTTGTAGGCATTTGTTGTACCTTAGTTGCTGTAGATTTCCCGGGTTGTGTGGCCGTGGTCTTGGCATTGTAGAACCTGACGTTTTGCCAGTAGCTGGGACTGGCATCGGACTGGCATGGGATTTTATCCCATGATTTTTGAGCTTACTTAGGAGCCTTTGATGAGGAACTTTATCAAAAGCTTTCTGGAAGTCAAGGTGAACAATATCTATTGGATCCACCTCATCCACATGTTTGTTCACCCCCTCAAAGAACATTAACAGGTTAGTGAGACAAGATCTTCCCTTACAGAACCCATGCTGAGTCTGCCTCAATAGGTTTTGTTCATCTATGTGCCTACTAATTATTTCCTTAATAATGGTTTCCACCAATTAATTTACTCGGTATCGACCATGAAAGGCCATGAAAGCCTTCGACAATATATTTGCTGTACCGCTGAACTTTGACTCCTGAGTCTCTCATGGAACCCACCTTCTGAGGTACTGGCAGGTATTAGGACTGCCCCTTCCTGTTTTTTCCCCTTAGCAATGTGACAAAAAGGTAAGTGGGGAATGGAAGAGACCCCTGCGCTCAGTGGCTGGAACTGGTTCCTCAGGAGGCAGCTTGTGGGCTGCGTCAGGGCCCACAGGCTGTTCCACTGGCTCCCCCTGCTGTTGGCCATCCTGCCTGCGTGGTGGCCACAGCCTTGTTTGGACCGGTGGAGCTTGACTCTCCCCTCTTCCAGGACTTGGCATAATGAAGCAGTCAAAACCCAGAAGGCCAAGAGGGTGTCCCGTGAGTGCTCCCCGCATTTCCATAGCTCTCTTTATCTGCACGTTTGATTTTTCGTTTCTAGCTGCCTCCTGGCCCTGGACACCACACGCCTGTGCACCCGCTTCTTAGGTTAACTTTGTGTGCCAGCCATGGCGCTGCGCGATGAGCCCCTTTGCTTCTGTTGCCCAAAGCGCATCTTGCCATTCTGTGCCGCAGGTGACGAAAAACATGGCCCAGGTGACCAAGGCCTTGGACAAAGCCCTCAACTCCATGGACCTGCAAAAGGTCTCAGCGGTGATGGACAAATTTGAGCACCAGGTGCAGAACTTGGACGTTCACACTTCGGTAAGCACTCCGTAGCGGTAGGGGCAGGGGGGCAGCTGTACTGTGCTGACCTGGGTGAGCAGAGGCTCTTGGTGCTACAGAGCAGGACCCAAGCGTTCCCTGGCCAGTGGGGATGCTCCCCATCGGGCACCTTCTCTCCATGCCATCATCTCACTTGGCTCTGCACAAATCCAGACATGTGGTGCAGGAAATAGGGGAGCCAGTTTGGTGTAGTGGTTAAGTGTGCGGACTCTAATCTGGGAGAGCCGGGTTTGATTCCCCACTCCTCCACTTGCACTTGGCTGGGTGACCTTGGGCAAGCCATAGTTCTGACAAGAGCTGTTCTTGAAAAAGAGCAGTTTCTGTCAGAGCTCTTTCAGCCCCACCTACCTCCCAGGGTGTCTGTTGTGGGGAGGGGAAGGGAAAGGAGTTTGTAAGCCGCTCTGAGACACCTTTGGGTAGTGAAGGGCGGGGCATAAATCCAATCTCTTCTTCTTCTTTCCCTCCTTGTGCCGCCCTTTCTGCCTGACCACCCATCTGATGCCATCTCGCTCTTGCTTCCTTTGTGAACCTCCTTTTCCACGGGGCCTTTAGTAGGGCCCTTTAGTCTTCCTCCCCTACCCTGGATGTCTGTCAGTCGCCTCTCCCCACTGGTTCCTTTCTTCCCCTTCTTCTCCTCTTGGTTGCCTCCTTTGCCTCAGTTTTTCAGTTATAAGCACCTCCCCACCCCACAGTAAACAGATATCCTGTAAAAAGCCATGGACGTGGACGGTACTACAGAAAGAAAGCCACAGTTGCCGGCCCCTTCTCCTGGGTCGTCTCCCTTGTCGAAAGGGGAGGCTGTCTTCTCCGCTCTCGGGCCAGAAGGCTCGAATGGCACCGTCCTGCTGCCGCCTTCTGGGAAAGCACCGCCTGACGTGCGCGGAGGGACAGCCCTCTCCTGGGTTGGGGTCTGGCTGCTTCTTGTCAGCCTCCATGATCTTGCTTAGAGATGTGAAGGCCCGGAAAAAAACCGGGGAAATTCAGAAAAAAACTGTTTTTTTTCCGTTTTTTTCGTGAAGCCTTTTTGTTTTTTTCCAAAAAATTGGAAAAATTGAAAAAAGAAAAGAAAAAAAATTGATTATGGAACGTTTTATTTTAACATGCTGAATAAAATATTTTAAGACAAGGTGTTCAAATATTTTCCAAATCATTTCTTATATATTGTCCTAGGTTACAAACTGAACTCTCCAATGCAAGAACAAGATGCATTTCTTCCTTTAGGAGGTGCGATTGTCAGAAGAAAATTAAAAAAAGTTTCAGTTTTGTTTTTGCATGTGGGTGGGTATTCTGTTTGTAATAATTGTTTGGATACACTATATTTTTAATATGCTAGATGTGATGATTTCATGCCAAGTAAAAATGTCCACAGTCATATTTTATGTTCCTAAAGTAACAGAACGACTTTCAATCTAGAAAAGACAAAAGAAATGCTAATGCAGCATTTTTTTTTCAATTTTCCCGAAAATTTCTGTTTTTTTCCGAGCTTCAAAATTTCCGGAAATTTTACATCTGCTTCTCCCTCAGGTGATGGAGGACTCCATGAGCTCGGCCACGACGCTGACCACGCCCCAGGAGCAAGTGGACAGCCTGATTGTGCAGATCGCGGAGGAGAACGGCCTGGAGGTCATGGACCAGCTGAGCCAGTTGCCCGAGGGCGCCTCTGCCGTGGGAGAGAGTTCTGTGCGCTCCCAGGAGGATCAGCTCTCACGGAGGTACCGCTGCTTTTCGGACGTCAGCAAACCTTTCCATAAGACAGGCGTGCCTCCCCAGAAGACAGGCACGCCCCCCCAGCCCCCCGAGACCAGCTCCTGTGATGTGGGACGAGGCCCAGCCACTGTGAGAGCCATCCTAGTGGGGTGCTTGGAGTGTTGGGCTGGGATGTGGGAAACCCGGGTTCAGATCCCCACTCTGCAAGGGAAGCCTGCTGGGTGAACTTGGTCCAGTCACATTCTTTCAGCCTACTCTACCCCACAGGGTTATTGTTGTGAGGATCGCATGGGGGGAAGGAAGAGCCAGGCGCAGCCTCCTTGGATGGACTCCGGCACCCGGGGCCTCGTCCCTCGTGTCTGGCACAGGGGCCCGTCCTGAAGGGTGCCTCGTCCCCAGAAGGAGAGAGAAGGTGGGCCGGGGCCTCCATTGGAGCCTGAGGCTCTGAGATGGCTGCCGTGTTTGCCTTCTCCTCCCTCTGCCTGTTGCTGATACTCTGAAGCACTAAAGGTTGGCCCTTCCGGAACCCTCCAAAGACCTTCTGGCCCAGTGGCAAGCCACGGGCTGGAACTGGGCGTTAAGTGGGGTGGGGGGGTGTTATCAGTCCCTGCCACTCATGCTCAGCACCTGGTAGCAGAGGGCCAGTGCCTCAGAATATTTTAAAGTATCATGATTAAAGGCCTCCAAGAGACTGATCCCGGTCTCCAATTATTTCAGTTACTGGCCATCCCACCATCATGTGGTGGTGAGTTCCGCATGTTAGCTGGATCTTCAGTGAAGGAAGCTCTGCTTATGCCTATCCTGCACCAGCTGGGTGCCCCCAGGTTTTACTATTATGGCCAAGAGGGAAAAGCTCCTCTCTCCTCCCTCTGTGATGACCTCCTGCCTTCAGCTGTTTCCTTCTAGAGCAAATGCTTCAACCGGCTGGCAGTTTGGGTTGTCCCATTTTGTGGCCACTCACTCCAGTGTCTGCTCCTTTCCTTCCTTTGCAGGTTGGCTGCCTTGCGGAACTAACCCTCCCTCGCTCCCGTGAAGGACTGCTTCTGCCTTGGCCATGTATGATTTGTGGGGTCCCTCTGAGAGACTCCCAGCCTTCCGTTCCCCCCTCCTCCTCTTTGGACTGGTCCCTCACTCCGTGGGCATGTGGCAAGACCACTGCTAAACACACACACGCACACACGGTGATGGCAGCGCAGCTCCTCTCTGAAGCAGCAGCGGCAGGCTTGTCTAGACTTGAGCAGGGAGGGGACCACTTTGCGGGGTTGTTGTTTTTTTGCTCCAGGGACTCTCCTCTCAGTCCTGGCTTTGGATCACATGATCGTGTTTGGGAAGTGGGAGGAATTGGATCCCAGAGCCCTGGTAAACTAATTCAGGCGTGGCCCTTGCGAGAGCTAGCTAGCGTGCATTCTTAAAAGGAACAGGATCCCGATCCACACTGCTGCCTGCGTGTCTAGAGGCAGGCGTGGCATGGCGCTCCTCCTTCTGTTGCTCCCACCGGTGGCCTGTGGGGGTGAGATGACCCTTTGCCGGCAACTCTGTTCCCTGCCTGGGACTGGCGCGCACCGTTAAGTGACCTTTGTTATTGACTTGTTCACTCTCTCCTGCCCAGGGACACGCTGCCTCCGCCCCCTCCCCTCCCACGAACTCCCATCTGGCCGTCTGCTATTTCAGCTTGGCTGGGTCCCTCGTCCACCTTCCCCAACGGAAAGGGGTGGCCCCCGAGTGCAAGTCAGCTGTGGCCCTTTTCCTGAGGCCTCTGCTGTCAGAGAGACTTGTCTGTCTCCTCCCGGACATCCCTGCTGTTGTCAGGAGGACTTGGGACCTCCAAACAGAGGGAGGCTGGATGGGCTTTGGGCACTGAACTGGAGCACAGCTGCTGTGGTCCTTTCTGCCCAAGTGGCGCTGAGAAGCTCCTTGCTTGAGAAGTCAGCCCTGCAGAGTGGGACCCAAGGCAGAGGGTCTCAGTCTCTTCTGTTGCTGGAATCTGAAGAGAGGCTGCTGTAGCTCTCTTTTGACACCCCCCCTCCCAGTTTCTCACGGGCCTTGTGCCTTTCCTGCTCCTCCGTCTGCTGCTCCTGCTATAAAGGTGTGTGTGTGGGGAGGAAGCATGTGTCCTAGCCCTTCTCAGTCAATGGAGCAGCATGTCCTCCAACTCTCGGGAAAGTGTGTTCTTGTTTGCCTTTACCTCTCTCTCTCTCTCTCTCTCTCTCTCTTTTTTAAAAGAATTAAACTGAGTACTGTCAATTCCTTGATGTTGTTTTAAATAAATGAATACCCTCTGGAAATCACTGGTGGCATTACATTTCCCTCCCCCTGAGTCTGTTTGGAACTGCAGAGGGCAGGAGGGAATCCACAACAGAGTATCGGGGATTGTTTTTAACTTGTTCCCCCATCAGTCCCTAATTCACGTCCTGAACGGCAGTTTCCAGATAGGGCTGGATTTAAGAGGCACCCCTGAGCAAGTGAGCCACAGTCCACCCAGCCTTGCTTGCTTGCAGGTTCTCACTCTTGGTGTTCTGCGTAATGTGTGAGATCCGTCCTTTGTGTATCTTCATTATGGAAGTGTGTCACAGGATCCACCCCCTGAGCAGATGACACGGGGTTGTGCAGGCTCTCGCACATTCCGGGACCAACATGAATGGATTCTTATTAGGGGGCAGAGCAGTCGCAAGAGCAGGGAGCCCCCCCCCCCCCAAATCAACGTCAGGGCATCGATTTTTTGCAGGTGGGTCGCTGTGTTGGTCTGAAGCAGCAGAACCCAGTGGGGAACCTTTAAGACCAACAAAGTTTTATTCTGGGTATAAGCTTTCATGTGTACAGAGTTTGAGTCCTGTGGAGAACCTTTAAGACCAACAAAGTTTTATTCTAGATATAAGCTGTGTGTGCACACGAAAGCTTACACCCAGAATATACCTGTTGGACTCAAAACATTTTTTGCAGTCATTGATTTGGCCACTGGAGGGCTCCTTCCCCTTAACGATTCCACAGACCAGCCCCACAGACTGGTCTGTCGCACGCCAGAACCAAATCACATGTGTGCCTTGAAGAGCACGGGAGCCTAAAACGCGCCAGTCGAGCCACCTTTCTGCACACATTTTGGGAACCGGCTTCCCGTGTGGTTTAAAGCACCTTCCTGTTCTTTGCTCACAGCGACCTGCATTACTGAGCACGTGTGAACTTGGCTCGCTGGTGGTTTGCCGTTAGACAAGAGTCTGAGGGGACAGAAGCCCTGCACAGGTGCTGTGAAATAAATCTGCCCAGAGGGCTAACCTTGGGGGCTAGGGTGCACCAGTATCTGTGACAATGGTGTAAGGAAGAGACCGGCTTGTGTGGAAAGCAGCAACACTGAAGAGCCGAACGAGGGTAGGAGGGGGAGGATCGACCTTGCAAGTTCTTGCAGGAACTGCCCGGTTCTTAGCTTCGCAAGAGATGCACAGCTGAGATATCTTAATTAACAGCTGGACTGGATAGAGGGGGAGGGTAGCGCCTTAACAGGCCCTTCTGAGGATAAAAGCCAAAAAGGTGTGTGTGTGTGGGGGGGAAGCGCACATCTTTTGGGCAGGATTTCCCTACCTTTTGGGGTTTGAGTAAGTTTCAGCTGATTTTAATCACTGTATTTTGGCAACCATTGAAGGACGCTGAATTTTTCCTTTGTTCCTCTAATTATTGTTGATCAAGGTTGCCTTGCCTTTTCTTTGCTAATAAAAGTACTCTTGCCTGATTTACCGAAACCGAGTGTGGCGCCTGAAGCCGAGTGTCCTGGCAGAGAACCCAGAGCCTGCATCATACAAATGGTCTTGTCATGGGGGTGAGAACGTACCCTGGGTCTGGCCCACTGGTGGGAAGTCGGTCCGTGCAGGGTGGCACCCATGAGGGAAATCCAACAGACAGTATTGCTGTTGCAGTTCTTAGCTTGTTCTTACAGAAGCAGCAGACCCACCACAGCGAGGAAATACTGCTGGAAGCCAGTTTCCACATCGTAAGGAGTTGTTCCTCAGGAGTGGATGTTTAGAGTGGGGGAAAGAGGGGATGGGGGAAGGCCGGAGTCCCGAGCACTGGGTCTCCCCAGGCCTTTCGTTGCAAGGAATCCAGGAAGGAGAAGTGGACACAGATGTCTTAGCACATCACCAAAGGATCAGGGACGGCTGGAGATGGCTAAATTGACTTCTTTGATCAGAGGAAAGACATTATGGCCAACTGGACATTTATGGACTTTTTGCATGAAACGGGGAAAAATAATAATTGAAGATCTACGGGTGTGAAGATTAAGACAAGAAAAGAACTATGGATAGACGAGAGGGTTTCTTGTATGTTTGCACATTTAGAGAGACGGGACAGAATTCAGTTTTACTAGATGTAAATGAAAGTCAAAACCTATTCCCTCTCCCCCCCTCCTTTCTCCCCCTTTCTGTTCTTTTTTTTCTTTCTTGCCTTTTTTATACTTTTATGTATTGTAACTTAATAAGAAAAGAATAAATCCTTAAAAAAAGAAAATGGCTGGGAAGATCTCCAGGAGCAGGTCTCTTCTATTGTGATGCCTCCTGGTTCCGTCTAGGTGGAAACTCTGGTGGACTGCCACCAGTTTCCCTGCCTCAGCAGCCCCCTGACCTACACGGCCCAGGCAAGTGCAGTCTAGTCGGATCTCGGAAGCTAAGCAGGGCCGGCCCCAGTTGGAACTTGGATGGGAGACCACCAAGGAAGTCCAGGGTTGCAATGCAAGAGGCAGGCAATGGCAAACCACCTCTGAATGTCTCTTGCCCGGAAAAACCCAACAGGGTGGCCCTCAGTCTTGCCAGCACTTTCCCACACACACACAGGCTTCAGGGACAGTTGGAGCCCCGCTGGTTTCCTCCCATGCAGTTCTGAGAGCCACTCATGCCTCATCTGCGCTGCAAGGCCAGCCGGCTGTTGAGCAGGGAACCTTCTTCTTTCTGCTGCCCCCTTGGTGGGGGGCTCATGGCCCTTGCTGGAGGAGGACAGCCACATCTCTCTCTGCTCCCCCCCCCCATGGGACCGAACCTTTCCCCGCCAGCTAGCAAACACAGCAGGAAGCTGGCTCCCTCCCAGCCGGCGTGTGCAGGTGCCTTCTGCTGCCGGCCTGGCAAAGACAGGCTGTTCCTGAAATGCCAGCGGAAGCTGATAATGAGCCGCTTGATTAGCCAATTAATTAGCTGGTGATGGATGCTTGGACAGAGCCTGTGAAACGGGACACCCGGCTGGCTGGCGTTCGGCGTCTCCATCTGTGCCTGGAGACGGGGCTGCCTTTGCGTGATGCCAGGAGGAGGAGGAGGAGGAGGAGGAGGGCGGCGTTGGACTGGAGCTGCTGCTTCTTGACCGCTCCTGGCCCCAAAAGGTGAACGTTCTGTGCTTGGGCTGGCTCTGCTGGCCACTGCCCCCCCCCAGGCTCTCCTTTCCCCCTCACCCACTTGCCTGTGGTCCCTCCCACCCACCCTTTCTCCAGCATGGCACGGGGCAGTTCCCTTTCGGTCACTTCCGCAAACTCCCCCCCATCTCCCTGAACACCCTTCCGCAGGGATGCTGGGAGGTGTCTGTGTCAGGAAGCACGGGTGGTGGTGCCAAAAAGAAGGCGGGTGAGGAATGCGGGCAACGTGGCCAGTGGGCCCCCCCCAGAAACCCTGGGCCCCCGCACCTGCCTTGCCTCAAGGAACGCTGCCACCAGCCCTGCCTGGGGCTTCCAAAAAGATCCCTGCCTCTGCCCCCGGGGGAATGCCAGGCAGCTCTTGCCACCTAGGCGAGGCCAAGAGGGAGAGCGAGAGAGTCCTTGCCACCAGGAGACATCCTTCCTGGGACAGTGGATGCTGCTTTAGAAGGGCTGTGCCCTGCATGCCTCGGGCAGCAGCCTCCACATGAGTGAGAATAGGTAACAGTGACTACGGAGCTCCAGGGGAGCAGAGACTAGGGCGCAGTGTCAGACTGGCATGGGGAGAGTTAAAGGTCAAGGTTTCCCTTGCTCGAAAGCTAGTCGAATCCGACTCTAGGGGGCGGTGCTCATTTCCGTTTCCAGGCCGAAGAGCCAGCGCTATCCGAAGACGTTTCCGTGGTCATGTGGCCGGCATGACTAAACGCCAAGGCACACGGAACACTGTTACCTTCCCACTGAAGCAGTACCTATTTATCTCCTTGCAGTTTCTTGCTTTCGAACTGCTAGGCTGGCAGGAGCTGGGGCCAGAGACAAGAGCTCAGTCCGTCACATGGCACTCGGGTCTCGAAC